ATGTTACTTGTATGTATCTTTTTACTGCTGAACATTTTTTATTGGGTAGCCAATTGATGTGCTTTTTTCTGGGTAAGACTATTTTACAGTTTTCAGCATTTCTTACTTGTCTGTAGTTCTCTGTGTATGGTTGAGCCTGGTGGGCTTTCTTCATCCATTTGGTCATATCTATGATTGTAGAATTTGTTCTGCACATATGAAGCTTTCATATTGCTGAGATTTTATATGTGTAGATTCTGACATTACTAGGAGACATCGTCTCACAGCAGACTACCTATTCTTCTGGCTCTTACAATCTTTCAGCCATATTTTCTATAATGATCCCCAGGACATAGGTGTGGGAGGTGTTCTGTAGATGTATCCAATAGGACTGGCCTCCATAACAATGACTTTTGATTGGTTGTGGGATTCTTCAGTGGTTTCTAACTGTTGTAAAGAGTTTCCTTGATGAGGAGTGAGATGAGAAATACACTTATCTGAGGGTATAATGACAAATATTTTAGAAGGTAGTTAGGGATTATGCTGGTTTAATAAAGTAGTAGTTGTAAGTTCTCATACATAGCTTCATTAGACCTGGGTGGTTTAGCTAGGTCTCCTGTACCTAGGCATGGCCTGCCTCACATAAGTAGATCTTAAGTCCAATTATAGAGCCATTGGTTATTAGCAAGGTATGTGTGCTACTGCTACAACCTGAAGCTTACCTCACCATAGTGTTTATTGTTGTGGGTCATAGGCATCATAGCTGGATAGGGCTATTGGTTGTTTTCTTCCCTTGGAAACTTTCTTGGGTCTGTCTAATACCATTAAAGCTAGACTTCAGGGAGGCTGCATTCAGGTCAGTTGTACCTCAGACGTCTCTGGGCTCAATGTCTGAAGTTCATGGTGTCTGGGGGGCATCTGAGGGCAATAGTCTCTTTTGGCATTCTTCGGGATAGCCTGAAATCACAACTCAATATTTTCCTGTTCATTTTGGATTCTGTTTTTGTGTCCTTTCTTTTTTCCTTTGGACCTAAGTCTACTAATCTTGTTTACTTTCTCAAAGGACCAGATCTTAGATTCGTTAAGTCTTTGTATTGTTTTAATTGTTTCTACTGTATTGGTTTCTACACTGATTATCATTATTATTATTGTTATTATTATTTCTACTACTACTACTACTACTACTACTACTACTGCCAGTTTGGTTTGAATTTGTTTTTTTATTGTTCTTTTAAGTTGTAAAAGAGTAACCATTAAATCACTGGGTTCTTAATGTAGGCACTGCCAGTTGTAAATTTTTTCCCTTGGACTGATTTCAATGTATCTCAGTGACTTTGTTTTATTGTGGTTCAATTAATTTAGTTCATGGAAATATTTATTTTTTCATTGATTTCCTCTTTGCCCCTCATCATTCAATAAGTTTCTTAATCTCTGTGAGTTCCTATATTTGCTAGAGATTTGTTGGCTGTCAATTTTAAGTTTTCTTGCATTGTTATCAGATAGAATATAAGAAGTCATTTCCATCTACTCAATTATGCAAAGATGTGTTTTCAGTTCCAGGATGTGACATGTTTTAAAACATCTTTCATGTGCTACTGAATAGAATGTATCCTTTAGAGGTTGGGTGGAATATTCTGTAGATACCCGTTAAAGGGCCAATTAATTCTGATGTGGCTTCTTTATTTTTTTTTGTCTAGATTACTGGTGTATTGGAGAAAGTGTTGTACAGAAATAAACTACTATTAACTAATTGATAATAGTCTGTATCTTTAAATTATTAGTGATATTTTTATGAAATTGTTTGCATCAGAGTTTGGTAAATATATGTTTAGGGTTCTTTTATTTTCTAGGTTAACTGTTCCCTTGATTAGAATAAAGTATCTCCTTTATTGCTTCTGATTAGTTCTAGTTTGAAGCCTATTCTGTCAGATATTGGTTTCCTGTTCCTATCCTTTTACTTTTTGGTGGCTCATATCTTTAAAACTATGATGTGATTCTTGGAAGTAACTGATAGGTGGAGGTTTCTTCTCCATCTGTTCAGAGAGTCTGTATCTTTTGATTAGAAAACCAAGGCAACAGATGCCTAAAGTTAATACTGAGACATGAGTTAATAGTGATCATAATGTTGTTGGTATTTATGTTGTTTGCTTTCTTGGTCATAGAGTTAAAAAAATGATGGGTTTGATTTCTTTTCACAACCACTCTTCTTGTTATTTTTAGTTCAAAATATAGCTTCTAATGCTTTTTTAGATTTGGTTTGTTGTATATAAGATTGTTTAGAATATTTGCATCTTGGAAAGTTTTTCTGTCATAATGGCAGATAGTTTTATCTGACATATTAGCTTTATCTTAGTCGAGGCATGCCATCATAGTCTTTTAGGACTTCAAATGCATTCTTCCAGGCTCTTCTCACATTCAAAGTTGCCATCAGGAAATCAGCTGTTATTCTGGTGAGTTTTTCTTCTTTTGACTTACTTTTTCTCCCATGCAGCTTTCAATGCACTTTCTTTGTTGTATATAGTTAGTGTTTTAACTGCAATATGCTGTGGGATTTTCTTTTCCACTCTTGTCTATTTGGTGTTCTGTGTGCTTCTGTATCTGCATGGGTGTGCCTTACCTTAGTTTGGGGAAGTTTTCTTCTAAGATCTTAAAGAGCACCTGGTCTGTGCTATCGACTTGGCAAACTTCTCCCTCATCTATGCCTATAATTTGAAGGTTTGGTTTTTTATGATGTCCCACATTTCTTACATATTCCTTCCTTGTGTTTTTGTAAAATTTTCATATTCCTTGCTTGTTTGATCTAGAGCCTCTACTTTATCTTCAAGTCCTGATGTTCTTTCTTATGCTACAGTCATTCTACTTACAATGCTTTCCCCTGAGTTTTCTACTTTAGTTACTGGTTTTTCATTTTAGCTTCTGTCCTCATCAATATTTCTGTCTCCTGGTGGAATTCTGTTCTCAGGTCCAAGGCGGTCTTTGTCATCTTCACCAATCTTATGTTTGTGTGTTCTTGGGCATCACTCAAGCATTTGTTCTCCTTCAGTTCTGTCTCTTTAACTTTAATGACTGTTTCTTTTTGTCTTTTTTATATTCCTGGGATTCTTCGCTGAAGTCTATGATTGCCATTTTAAATTATGTGTCCTTGTCCTGGGGCTCATCTACATAGTTCTCATTAGCAAACGCTTGTCCAGGTCTGGTAGAATTGGAGAGAAGATACTGGCTTTATCTTTCATATTGATTTGATTTTTGCAATGAGATCTGGGCATATGGACTCAATCTGTTTTTTATATGCAAAGAGCAGATTGGGCTAAAATAGAACATTGTGTACATGTTGGACCTATACGTTGGAATAGATAGGGAGGAACAAAGTCTGCTGGAAACAGTGCACTGGGTTGCTGTATAGGATGTTACTACTGGTTCAAACCTTGTGTGTAGCTGTAGATATGACTGGATGGAAAGGTTTGATGTGTTATTGGATGGGACTTCTGGGTGGTTCATGGCAGAAGCCTAGAGGTTGTTTGACATGCAGACATTGGTGGTTAGACTCGGCTTGGCCATAAGTGTGTATCTCAGGGATAAATCTGGTGTTTGCAAAGTCTTTGTGTCAGGGGAGGGTCAGGGACAATCCCTGGTTTAGAACCTGGGGAAAGGTGAGTGAGATCTTGATGGATGGAGAGGATAGATGCTGTGTACCTGAACTATCCTTCTTTGTCTCCTTTCATTCATCTTATTCTGGAGTCTACTTTGTCTGAAAATATGGTAGAGAAAACTGCTTGTTTCTTCTTCCAATTAGCTTAGGATACTTTTTTCATCCTTTAAGTTTAAGGTGGCTCCTAACCTTAAAGGTGAATTCCTTGTAGACCACACAAAGATAGCTGGTGTTTCCTTATCCAAGTTGATTATTCTGATTAAGAAGCAGATACCACTGGTTCTTAAAGTTATTATTGAATAGTGTTGTTAGTTTCAGTCATTTTGTACTGTTGATATTTGTGTTCTTAGTTATAGACTGTGTTTCAGATATTATAACTTCATTTACTTTCTTTCTACAGAAATTTTTCTATGCCTAGGTCTATCTTCAATTTAGTAAGTTCTAAAATATATAACAGACATTGTATTACACAAAATCAAATCTGTCATATATATGCATATATATGACATACATATATATATTGATATAAATTCTCATTTATACATGATATACATATATATGTCATACATGATATACACACATACAATGCACATGGCACCATTCATTATAAGTAAAGCTTGGTACTAATCCAGATATAGAAACTCAGTGATTGATCAGAGAAAGCATGGGTCATCCATACAATGAAAAACTAGTCAGTATGAAAGTTGGCAATTTTCTCACACCGACTGTAACATTGATAGACTATGAAACCCCAACATTAGTTAGCTGATGTGGTGACTCCTGCCTCTAATAGCAGCAGTTGAAAAGGATCAGCAGCAGGATTGCCTCTAGACAAAGGCCAGAGTGGGGAAATAGTTCTTGGCCAGCCTGAGATACAGAGACATAGACTGTCACAAAAAATGAATAGTTAAATGTGCTAAGACAAAATACCACAGCTTGAATGTAGATACACGTCTATCTTTAAGTTTGGCATATAACTCCATAGTAGGGGTATTGCAAAAATTATCTACTCTTTGCTTCAAGTGGCTTCCTGTTTTCATTATGAAATTTAAGGCTGTGACGACAACCTGGATGGCTAAATGTGTGTGGCCAAAGTTCAGTGTGAGTGTTTAAACAGTGGTAAAGAAAATCTTAGATGGTTTGTGGATTATCAGCCTGCAAGTAAATGTTGACACAGAGCAAGTCCGGCTGAGTTTGAGCAGAACACTCCCTGCAGGAGATTTCCTGGTCAAAAGTCCATCTGCTCAAAAAAGAAAACCCTTCTCCCCTGCTACTGCCCCCCACAGGGGATAATCTTCCAGTCCTGAAGAATCCATCCTCATGATGTTCTGTGTTTCTTTGCAGTTGCCAGGTGTCCAGAGTCACCGCTGTGATGGCCAGCAGGCGTGCCATCCAGCAGTTAGGTGGCTTTGCTTTGGCTACACTAGCATGGATCCTGTGCAGTGTCTCTATGTGCCTCCCGCAGTGGCGAGTGTGGTGTTTTCGGGAGCCCATGGATTCCAAGCCCAGAATGACTTTAGTGGGGATGTGGAAAGTCTGCATTTACCACCAGGAAGGCAATTCCAACATTTCCAAAGTGTGTTACAAATATACCTACCAGGACAGCTTCATCCCTTTGGATATTCGAGTGGCTCAACACCTGCTACTGATCTCCAGCTTTCTCGGCATGATTGCCACAGTCACTGTCATTGTGGCTCCTTGGAAAATTTACTCAGCGAGACTCCAGAAGAAAGCTACCTACAATCTATTCGTCATTCCAGGGATTCTGAACATCGCTGCTAGCGTCTTTGTCTTCTTTACCATCTCGTATAATTATTTAGCCATCATTCGCGAGGAAGGAATTGCCTTCCCCCCATCTTTCCGCACACCCTCCATCCCAGATACCCAGAAAGTTGGCACTGCTTTAGCAATGGCAACCCTTTCTTCCTTCTTATTTCTAGTGGGTGGCACAATTTTCCTTTCTTTCACTCTTCCCCGGCGCTCCCGAATGTGTTCTAACATTGGAATATAACTTTTGAACTTGCATAGACTTTAAAATCCAAAATTGCAGGGAGTAATCACAAGTATTCTTCAGATACCTACCTAAAATTTCCAGGTTTCACACCATGCAAGGGTAGACAAGTGGGCATCCAGTTATATTTCCTGCTATTTTTCATTGGTTGGCTTCTGAATTTTCAATAAACAAATTCTTGCCCACTTAATCTTATGCGTTTTGAATTTTAATTACTGTTTGCTATAGGTAATTAATCTGAGAATTAGTACATATTTCCAGTGGCTGTGTCAGAGGAGCAAAAGGTGGAAACTGAAGTTCAAGGTGACAGCCAACCAGGAGGAAACCCCTCTGATGGATCAATCTCAGTTGGACAAGGCCCAGAGTCCCTGGACCCTGAAATGGCTTTTGGTTCTGCTGTGCCTTTACATGTTTGCTGCTTCAATCTTTCTCGGGTAATTGGTATGGAGTGAATGGAAGTGGGGAGACTCATACTGCCTGTAGTGTAGTGTATTTATCTCAAGGAAACATCCAACTCGACAGGGCATATTTTTCTCTTTTATTTTTTGACAAAGATCTCTCTGTAGTTTTAGAGCCTGTCCTGAAACCCACTCTGTAGACCATGCTGACCTCGAACTCACAGAAATTCACCTGTCATTGCCTCCCAAGTTTAGGGATTAAAGACATGTGCCACCACCGCCCGACACTCTACCTGGCAGTTTTATCTGTGGATTGTCATGAGGATGATTCCTCCCTAAATTGTACTGTCTAATTGGTAATAATAATGTTAGCTTATATAGAGTTTTGATGAATGAAAATAAATACAAAGAAATGTTACACAGCTGAGGCCTATGAGTTTCACCTAGAAGCTATATAGATTGTAGCTTAAGTTAATGACTAAGAGAAACAATTGATTCCCAGGAGCCAGGCTGGCTCAAACTACTTTAATCTTAATGCTGATAGATACAGTCATAAGTTTTGGTGTACATCACTAGTTGAAACAAAGCCTTAAAATAACGTCAGGTTAGATCAGATGATTTGATCATAGTTTTAAGATGCAAAACCCTAGAAAAAAATCTAAGGTTCACAAGGGCACATAGCTAAGGTCAAAAATCAAAGCAGCTCACTTTTTACTGTTTGGCATACTTTCCTGGCTAGGATTGGTTGATAATTTCTTATACCTATTTCTGACCTCAACCTCCTGTTATAAAACAAACAAACAAAAACTATTAATGAGTGTGTATGTACACTAATGATTAAATGTACAGCTGATTGATTCTTTTTAATATATAAAATTTAGGTTTGCTATTACTTTAAGATTCTGGATATGTCTACCTTTCAAGATTAATAATAAACTAATTGACCCTATATTTGTAACTTCAAAATGCAGCTTGCTAGTAAAAAGCTGACAATACCTTACTTGCCCACATGTTTAATATATAACAGGTTGCTTGGTTATAAATGTATGTGGGTTCTTGGGATAATTTGTTTTTCACATGTCATATGTAAAATGTTTAATCCCATAAGGGATATGGAGAACAGGATGGTTTTTACTGTTTGTTTAGTCTTTACTGTAATCATTCACTTGAAAAACAGAATGTAACCACAGTGTAGCTTTTATATTGCCTGACAGATTTTACTAGGGTATATAAATTGTAAGGGAAAGAATAGAGATAGTGTTAGATCAAGTGAAAGTGGGCTAGGAGAAAAACATCAAGAATGAGAGAGTTAGAAAGAAAACATCAAGAATGAGAGAATTAAAAAGGAAATATCAAGAGTTAGTTAGAAAGAAGGCATCGAAAATGAGAGAAGGAATAGAGAATGTGAAAAAAGAATAAAGAAAAGGTTTGAAGGAAGTGTATATGAAAAGAGTGTGTGAGTGGCTTCTTTTCCCTAACAACCTCAGATAGGAAATTCCAGTATTTGCTGATGCTGTAGATTCCCTTTGAGCTCTGTGTTTCCTGGAGGCTCTCTGCCCCCCAAGTTGTGATAAGATACAGAAATGAGTGTAAGAATATAATGACCCCTTACATCATCCTCTAAATCCATTAAAATTAAAGCAGGCCTGATTCCCAAGCCATACAATTGCAACTCTCCACTAGATATTTCCAAACAATGTTAAAGACTGATATAAGGAATCCACGCAATGCTTTGGTCAAAATACCTGTAAAAATTTACCATATTTCCTTACTCCCTCCTTTCCTCCTTTTGATTTTTCTTTTCCAACAGTTTTAAAATTTGAGACATCTCATCTTTTATTCTCTTTGTATTCAAATTTTATTATATACAAAACATTTTCAGACTATCCTATACTTAATTAGCTTAACATGTATTCCTTGTTACAGTTACATATTTTTAAGCCTTTTCTTGTTGTGAGACATTTCCTAGGGAGATGCAAAAGAAAAAAAAATTACTCAGAAGACAGTGTCAACAGAACAATGAAACAATCCTAACTAGGTGTAACTTGGATGAAATGGACTAACTTGAGGGACTTTCCAAGGAAAGCTCCATACTAAATTCTTGAAATAAGAGGTCATTTTTCCTGGAAGTCCGAGGTCTAGCTCTAGTGGCAAGTGAGTAATGTTGGCAGGAACTTAAGACTGCTGATTATCTTGTAAACGCAGAAGGCAAATGCTATGTTGGACTTGCTTTCTCCTTTTCAGGTAGTCCATGATCCAAGTCCAGGCAATGGTGCTGCCCACCTGTACAGGATCTCTTCTCACTTCAACTCAGCTATTTAAAATAACCCCTTTAAGGCATTCCCACAGGTTAATGAAATCTAGACTGTGTCTCACAAGTGTGTTCCAAAACTTATTATATATAACTCTAGAAATATAGTGTCTAGGTCCTCTGAAATTGACATTGAGTACAAACTATCATACCCTAGTAATATCGATACTATAATGAGTCTGAGTTAAGTGAAAAATACCTAAAAATCCATGGGATACCAGGTGGTAGCAGCATACACCTTTAATCCCAGCACTCCAGAGGCAGAGGCAGGTGGATCTCTGTGTGATTGAGGCCAGCCTTACTACAGAGCAAGTTCCATGACAGACAAGTCTGTTAAACAGAGAAACACTGTCTCAAAAAAACAAACAAAAATCCAGGGGAGATATGTTCTAATAAAGGAAACAGTTTTTCCTAATGATTCTCTGGATTTCCTTGGTTTCTCTTGTTGTGTGCCCCTTCATATTTCTGATTTTGTTAATTTGGATATTGTCTCTCTGCCTTTTGTTTAGTTTGGATAAGGGTTTATCTTGTTGATTTTGTCAAGGAACCAGCTCTTTGCTTCATTGATTCATTGCATTGTTTTCTTTGTGAAGATGGATACTAAAAAGAAATCCCACACTACCTCAGAATTGAGTATAATAAGGGGTTATTTATTTAGGGCTAGACTCACGGAGCACAGTCCTCTGCACGAACAGGGAACAGGAACCAAATCTAGCAGCTGGAAGAGAGAAAGAACGTGTGCTTTACATCAGCATTTAAAGTATAAGAAGTCACGCCCAAGTGGTCAGGTAACTTAAAGGCTATTGGATGTTGGATTTCCTACAGAACCCCCTTTTGTTTAAATAAAAGAGTTCTAAGCCTAATACAAAATTATATACAATAACAACAAATATCAGGTATAAAAATTAGATTACAACCAGTATAAACAATATCAAGCAAAAAAACATGATAAATGTTTCAATAATTATTCTATCCTAAGGCGTTTAAATCATTTATTATAAATAATTTAGCCAAGTCAGGAGAGGAAAGTAACTACAACTCTCTAGTCTTCAAGCCCATTGAAGACCCAAGAAGGGAAATAGTATTACTTGAGTACGCAGGAAGTGCAATTAAGCAACATCCAAAATGTGCAACAAATGACAGAGATAATTGGCTACCTGGGAAATCACCCAAAGTCTCATTTGCAACATTAGAGCAAGCAACTTTGGCTAAGGCCTACAGTAATTGACAGACCATTTTCAGAAGCAGGAAAATTTTCAAAACTGTCTTACCCTGTCTTGGCAAAATTTCACGGTCTTTTATCTTGTATTCTGCTTGTCCTGTCTGGACATAGTGTATTTTGTCAGTGGTTGATGCATGGGCAGTTCCTTGCCCAAAGGCCAGTTTTTCCAAGAATAAAACAACCTCCAAGTGGAGTGTCTTCAGTATTCAACAATCTCTTGGGAACAGATCGGTGCTGCCAAGAGCAATAGTGTCTCACATCAACAGAACCCTAAGTTATTTAAATGCCATATTCTGCAGCTCTTTGAAGTGGTTGAAGATTACCTATCTCTACAGAATACATTATCTATGTATCTAAAGAACCTAATTAGTCTAACTATAAGTATGACAATCATGAATGATTGCTGACTTGTAATTCTTAATACCTATATAACTTAACGACTAACACTTCCTATTAGAATATTAAACAATCTTTAAGCAACTGTGCAACAAATGAGAACAGTGACCTCAAAAATGTAAAAATTGTATAAGTATCTTGAACAGAGGTAGAAATGTATATTGCATTATGATAAATATATCCTAAAATTGTGACAATATACAAAATGTCTTTAGCAGAGGTAGAAGCATGCATGCATACAATATGACAAAATAACTTTGCCTAGATCATTGGGCTACCGGCGGCCCTGTTTAGTTGCTGAGGAATCCCATCAGGACGGGTGAGTGTGTGCTATCCAGGGGCGGATTGTCCTGGAAGAGAGCACAATCACCCTCCCCCAGCTCCTTCTGCAGGGCTGTCTTTCTTTCGTTCGACCCAGCACCCCCAGCACCCCTCCCCAACCCTCCCCTGCTGTATGCTAGGTCCAGTGCTCAAGTACAGTTTTAAGCTCCTAAACTAAGGCGACCCACCCAGAGCGGTGAGTGCCTGCCAGCCGGGCAGGCCTCAGGGTCCCCTGTAAGGGAGCCGGGCACCTTCAGCTCCAGCGCCAGGCTTCCTGCGTGCTCCTGGATACCACCCCCCCCTTGCTCCATTCATCCTGTTGGCCCTGGATCATTGGGCTACCGGCGGCCCT